TTCCTTTTCCTCTTCCTTTTCCTCTTCCTTTTCCTCTGCACCTTCTCCCTTTCTCTTCTCCTCTTCCTGCGATTTTTTCTTTCTCGTCAATCATAAGAGACGTACATGCACACACAACTTAAATATTAAATACGAGAATAACCTTACGTAACGTACGCCCGTGTGCCTTGGTTCAAGTGCCCTTGCGAGTATTTTCTAAGAGAGATCGTCTCTCGAGACATCCTCGTCCGTACATAAGTAACGCGGATAAACGATAATCTTTAAAACAATGTTCTAGAGAACAATGAAACGTTGAAGGAGCTGCGGCATTTATCGGTAATAAAAACAACTAAATCGTACGCGATGTCCCTGGACGATGATCATACCTTCTTCCGGACCTCAGAATATTCAATTTCTTCTATTTTGAAGTAATAGTGTAGTTTACATATTTTACGATGACAAATCATTGCAATTACTGCATTCAATTTACCACGAGCAGAAAAACATTCATTTGCCGTTACAAGTTGCAAATTGAGTCATTAATACCATACGATTATCACGTGTACTTTGGCAAAAAAGCCTGCCTTGACTTTTTCATGTTACGTAAAATGCATGGAAATCTTTGTGACGTTTTGCACTAAACGGAGTGTAACCATGACGTTAACATATTGATCGTATGTTTATGAGGAAATATTTGCGATTAATTTATACTCTATAAGAAATGCCGTTCCATTGTTTGCATGTCTCTACATCGTTTTCTTTTTTAAAGATTTTCTTTTGTATAACTTTTATAAGATAATCATATATATATATATATACATATAGTATTCCCATGTATTTACATATCTGTACAAGTATATTCTATCTGTGCGCAGAACCATTCTTCATCTGTCTCATCAAAGTCTCGAGAGACTCGAATGCATGAACAAAAAATCTTCATTTTCTTATTAGACGCGGCTAGTGATCTAGATTAAAAAGATTTAATAGTATAGTATGTTCGGTTACTGTACAAAGATGTAAAGAAAACACGATACGCTATGGTCACTACATAATAACTACATGGAAAACTACGCTACATATAATTATTTCTTATTATCAAATCGGTGTTATTTTAAAAGGTATTCGTCTATTCTACTATAGTCGAGTCGAATCGAATCTCGGTTTGTTGCGTCTATTCTATTTCGTTCCTTCGTTTGCATTTTCCTGTTGTTTGCTTCGCAACTACCGTGCGCCGATGAAATGGTAACATCCGGAAAAACCCAGAAACAAGACGTACCTTTTGTTGCGTATTTCGTTTACGGTATTCACTTCTTACCGTCCGATTGTAGCGACGAATAATCGATTAATGCCGAAAATGCATCCGAGAAGAGGTATGCCTCCTTCCACTCTGACCAAGTACCGCATTCCTTTTGGCTGTTTCCATTCCATCAACGCGCTATAGTTGCTACGTCTGACTTTTATATTTTCTTTCTGCTTCCTTTCTACATACAGACATGTTATTGCGTAACTTTGCATTTCTATGGCTTCCGGGATTCACCTAACGAAACCTGTACATTTTCTTTTCGTCAACAGTCGACCAAGCTTTTGTTCAATGATATAAGCGTATATAATATTATAGATCCATCCGTATTTACGTTTAAGTACGCGCGGATTTACATAACCGAAGCAAATAATTGAATCGATATATGAATAACGAGATCCATGCGTATTTACCTCTACGTATGCGCTGATTATCACATTACAAACAATAAAAAAGTCACTTCTCAATATTAACACACCTGAGTATCTTTCCCGCTCGTCACTCTGACAAACGACACGATCAATGTCAATTATTTTCGTGTGAACGAGAAACTGATGTTTTGCACTATCCACTTAACCGGTTACCGTCATAGCATTGCATCGCTGCGGTCACACGGGACGTCGGAGCTTCAAGATTTAGCTTCCGTACTGTTCAAGGTACAGCATCGTTCAGACATGAAAAAATATATAGCCGAATCAACTGCAAATCGTATTGTCAACGTCTAAGAGGAAAATCCGAGTGACCTTGAATTGCCGTACTTTGTCCGGTCAATAGTAATGATAATCCTTATTGACTTCGAAACCTCCAACATTCGATTGCAAACGCACACCAATTAAAATCGATTTATCAATTGTTTATTCGCGAGATGCAGATGTTCCAGTGGCAGTTACATGTAACGCAATACTCGGAAACTTTGACCCTTATTGAACGTTACAAACAGGAATGGTTGACGTTTGTAATCATAGGTACTTGTATAATTTCGTACACAAATAGTTGGAAGCGAGAATATCTTGGTAGTTTGTTGGACTCTTGTCGCAAATGGTCTTCGAATGTTGCGCGTACGATCTCCAGTTGAAAACTCGTCTTTTATACTGCTGCTACTTTGCGCGCGTCTCTCGCGTGATATTGTGGGTGTATTTTGCGAATGTCAATCTTGATATTTCTGGATGATGAGAGAACTACGACAGACAGTTGGCTAGAGATAAAAAATTCAATAGAAATACCTTCGGCAAAACGCATATGTATTTCACGATGGAACAAGGAGGAAAAACGTTCCACGGGGATGTGCCGATTGGGGGGTCGAACGCGATCAGGCTGCCCAAGAAGGGGAAGGAGAGCCAAACGATGAAGAGAAGGGGCAACGTTCTAACGAGAGTAGAAGGAGGAGAAAGGAAAAGCGAGAGCAACGACGATACGAGTGACAATTCTGAGGTGTATCGCTTGCAAAAGACTCGAGCGAGGTGGCATAAGAGGAGGATCAGTATATTTGCACGAGGAGAAAGTTTCCAAGGTACCTGGCGTGCGATCGCTAGTTTAATCGTTTAATCGTTCAATCGTTCAATCGTTCAATCGTTCAACCGTTCAACCGTTCAAATGTTCGTTCGTTCGTTAATTCGTTTATAATACTCGACGATTAAGCTCCTCCCTTCGATACATGGGTGGTTCATTGAACGGTATTTGCTTGGTCGGCAGTTTTATTAACATCTAGGAGCGCCCCGTCAGCACTAATTTCACAAAACACCGGATAAGGTCAGTGAAACTGTGTAACATTTGATATTTCTTAGCTTACCGCTCGAACATTGCAAGGGTGTAAAATGTTTGTTGTTTATACAAGTTGAACAATTCAATTGCAAATAGCTAACGTGTCGTACGAAGTACGGACTTGTGTAGCTCGATGGATTTTCATACTGTTTGTATTCGAATAACGAAACGTAATAGTGTAGACGGTCGTTTTGTTGGGAAACTTGAAGCGCTTAAGCGTTCCTTGCTAATTTATCACTTGTTGTTTCTAACGATCCATCGGTATATTTCTTAGTTTTGACAGCACACCGACTCTTGGAACATCATTTTCGATAGAAACAATCGTGAATTCGAAATGTATCGTAAAATGAAATAGTGGAGCGGGAAGACAATCTGTGACCGAGAACGGTTAATATTTGATTTCGTCGCAGTTCGATTCTTTCAGATTTGGTTTACGGTTTTAGCAACACGCGTCATTAGCTATTCATCTTGGGTTCGTCCGCAAACCGGTAGGAACCGAAGGGAAAAGAAGAAAACAGAAGAGAAGCGAAGGGGAGAGGAGAGGAGGGAAGAAAAGAGGAGGAAAGAGGAGAAAAGGAAAAGACGAGAAAAGAAGAGAAGATACGACGCTAAATGCAACGAGACGACAAAGAATACCTTTGAATGTTCTTATTCGTTGCGTATCCGCGGACACGATCGAAACAGAGACACGAAGCGTGTGGATTTCGGAATCCATGATTGTCGCTCCGGCAGAATATAACGGTTTTTCGTGAAATATCAGATTCCATACAGTTACGTGTAGTCATAGTTTTAGTTTTCGGCGTTTCGGAACTTTGAAATGCTTCGTACCGAATCGAATATTTAACTACGACTACCGTTACCTGTGTAACGTGCTCGCGCAGCATCCGTACCGTTATTTCGTTCGGCACGAGGTATGGCACGTCAACCTTCGAATGTATCGTCGACTCTGAAATACATCATTTGCTAGCATTGTTCTATTCGTTGAAACGGTATCAACCGCGTCGCAGTAGTTTGATTTCTACTACGACGGTTACTCTATGAATATGCAATGTATTTAATATCTGTCGGCGGGAGCAAGTTGAAATCGCGGAAAGGAACGGACTGTGCGGAATTGGCAGGCATCAGCCAGCAGCCAGCAACCACCAACCACCAACCACCAACCACCAACCACCAGCTTTCAGTGACCGGTCGCCAGTCACCAGCCACCAGCCAGCAGCAGTTGGAACGAAGGAACACGGGGATTAATTTATTGCCCCGTCTGAAATCGGGTCCTAATGTTTCGCGAAACCATCTCTGACGGGTACAACATTCCAATTCCTATTTTCTTCGGACAACATTGTCGATGTAAATCGAACATTTCGAGACAACGAAGCATCCGACTATAGGAGCTGTTCCGACGAGGTGTTGGTGGAAGCAGTCACTGTGTTACGACTCAAAGATATCGAGTGGAAATGCACTTTTACCAATTTCTAATATTTACGTATCCCAGTTTCGTTTGAAGCAGAGACAAGCAAGGATCGAGTGAATTTTTCCTTGCTTTCACAAGGAATATCGTCGGTGCGGAAGCATAATTATTCTCGATCGTATACGATACGAACAGTCGGCATCTATTAAATGGATTTTTCGATTCAAAACACGAGAGACGTACGAACTCTCCAAGTTCACTATCTACTTTCACTCTGCGACGGTGCGCGGTTTCTCTCCGGTTAACTATCATGAGCGTACGAACGGCGGAACGAGTAACAGCTTTTAAATTGCTAGGCGCTCAACTCGTGTAACTTTGGCTTTCTCCATTTTTCAGTTGTTAATGTTGACTTTGTGAATCAAACGACAAACGACAAACGACAAACGCGATGGTGGAAGTTTTATTGGAGTCGTGCGGTCAAGACGTGGCAGTGCCGGAAAACGGTTGCAGTCTAAGCGAAAGTCCAACGGAATGTACACCACGACAGGAACGCGATTGCAATTTGACTTCGGAAGAGCCGAATCTTACTCCGATTCAAAAGTTTTACAACGGACAAAGTATCTTCGTCACTGGTGGTACGGGATTTATGGGTAAACTATTAATCGAGAAACTTCTTCGAGAGTGTTCCGGGATCTCGGTGATTTATATATTGGTACGTCCGAAGAAAGGAAAAGACGTGCATCAACGTGTCGAGGAACTGTTCGATGATCCGGTAAGGATTGACAAACTATTCTTTCTCATCGTAAACCCAACATTTTCCTCCTATGGTTTAATTCCCATCTTTACGTTCGGTAATACACCGCCAACCGAGTAAACTGCATCCACTTTCTCCCTCTGGACGCGTCGAGCAACGACGGTCGATGTTAACGTTGCTTTTTACCGTTCCTTCCATTCTCCTTCCAGCAGTGCTTCCTTTCTTCCGCCTATCTATCCTTTGCTCTGTTTTACTTACTTTCTTCTTCGAGCGAATTGCTTCTACGATATACCGCAGATGCATCGGCAAGGCGCGAAAGAATCGAATCTACGCGAACCGCGAGTTCGTGGTATTATGCATAATCCTGTATAGCGGTCCACTAAAAAAGAAACGTAAATCGACCTTGAAATCTCCTTCGCGATAGCACGTAGAACCGAACGATTGTTTATCGAGTTTATCTGCACACAAACGAGCAAACAAATAGACGGACGAGCGCGCGCGCGTATAAATATTTGTTTGGTTTCGCAGGTGTTTAGCCGACTGAAAGAAAAACGACCAAAGTTTAGACATCAAACTGTTGCAATCGCCGGAGACTGTAGCTTGCCTGGCTTAGGAATCTCTTCGACTGACAGAGCTATAATAACGCGCGAAGTTTCGATTGTTTTCCATGTCGCGGCAACCGTTAGATTCGATGAAAAGATGAATCTCGCTGTGCCCATCAATGTTCGGAGTCTTAAGGATGTGATCGGTCTTTGCAAGGAAATCTCTGGTTTCAAGGCAAGCGAATAAAACGCGAAACGAAAGTGTTTCCTCGTAAAAGCTACACGGCAAATGACTTTACTGTTTTAGTCGTTCGTACACGTATCGACGGCATACGCCAATTGTCCGCTCACGTTGATCGAAGAAAAAATCTATGATCCACCGATGGAAGCCGAAAAATTGATAGCTTTGGTGGAATGCGTGGACGAGAAGTTGATCCAAGAGATAACACCCCGGTAATAAAGCATCTGAAATCTCTCAGTGTTCGTTTGCCAGAGTTCGTCTGTTCTCAGCGAGTCCTTTCCTTTCCGAATGTTACAGGTTGTTGGGTGTCTGGCCGAATACGTATACTTTCACGAAAGCAGTAGCGGAAAGTATCGTGCAAAAGGAAGCGTATGACTTGCCCGTTGGAATATTTCGACCCGGGATCGGTTGGTATTTTACGACCTATTTATTTTCTTCGATCATCCTACCAAATTAACGTGTCTATCTCTCTCTTTATCATCATTATCCACCGATTTCTTATTATACCGCTCGCGTATACGACAACCGACAAACCATGGAAAATATAAATGCGACGTTCGATTTGTTGAAAACTGAATTTTTAGTGATATCAACGTTCCGAGAACCGTTGCGAGGATGGATCGACAATATGTACGGGCCAACTGGTGTCGTAGCTGGAGCAGGTTCTGGACTCCTTCGATCGATCCATTGCGACGGTTCTAGAATAGCTAACGTCGTGCCGGGGGATTTAACGATAAACGGCCTAATAGCCAGTGCTTGGGACGTAGCAAATCGTCACAGGTATAACAAAAGAATAACTCTCTCTCTCTCTCTCTCTCTCTCTCTCTCTTTGTTTCTGTTCCTTTCCACCTCCTCTGGTTCCCTGCAAGCTAATCTGTATCTCGGCATCTTTCTGTACACCGGATTCCGCAGATCCAGGACTGATAAAGGAGAAAGGACAAACGATATTCCAGTTTACAATTACGTTTCTCAAGACAATCCGATTACATACGATCAATTAAAGTTGTTATCCGAAAAGTACGGACTGGAATTTCCTACTGGAAAAGCAATATGGTATTACAGCTTTCGCAACACCAGGCATAAAATAATCCATTCCTTCTACATCTATTTTCTGCATCTACTTCCGGCTCTGCTGATCGACAGCGTCACGCTTTGCTTAGGCAAACAACCCAGGTAAATTTACTTTTCGATTCGCCTCTCTTGTTTCATGGAATTCTAACTCTCGCAAATTTCTTGTTTCTTTCCTACGTGGTCCGTGCGTGGACGCTTCGAATCGTACTAATACCTTTTTTCCACGAAAGGATGCTCAAAATCTATAAAAAGATACACAAATTTATGGACGTGTTGAATTATTTCTCAATGAAAGAGTGGACATTTTCAAATGAGACTCTCAAGACGCTTATCAGCAAAATGAGTCTCGAGGATCTCGATAATTTTGCTTGCGACATAACTAAGGTCGATTGGGATCAATATTTTCGAACGTATGTGCGAGGAATTCGTATCTATTTGATCAAGGATCCACTGGACACCCTTCCCCAAGCACGCGTTAGATGGCAAAGGTAATCGCAATCCAGATTCCCATTATATTCTTCGTTGTGTTTTCTGCCGTTTCTCCGCGTATACGACGTGTCGTTGAAACTTTAATCGTGTTCCTTTTTACAGACTGTATTGGATTCATCAAGCGCTGAAAGTGATTCTTGCTTACGGTCTTCTGAGAATATGTTGGCTAACCGTGTCTCACCTTTCTCGATTTTGTACATGGCAGTTTGCGTAGCATCTTAATAGAAATACGTACAATTATGCACACGTGCGTGCGCGGCCGTGTGCCTAGGCGCAAGTACACACCTGCCTACTTAGCGTCGAGTAAAGTCACCGCATCGAACGAAATCGGTCGCGCCGATCGAACAAATTTCCTGATGCTCTTCTGCGGTTAGTCTATCGACTGCGCTTTCAACGCAGGTGTCTGAAACTAAGGAAGGAGAAGAAGAGAAAGGGGAGAAAGGAAAGAAAGCGCGGGACCGAGTCGATAAAAGTGTTGGTAGTCGTTTAAACGTGTTACATTTTCTCTTATTTATTGAGCGTGGTTGGGATAACTTCAAATTAAACAGAACGACGCACTCGTCGTTC